GCATTTATGAAAAATTCCATCATGTACTAATTCGCAAGCTAGGTAAGTGTGGACCTGACAATTGAGTTCATCCATAGCTGGCTTGAAAAATGCTCTCAGAGAGGGTTCATTAATGGTTCCTCATTAAATTGGAGAAAGGAATCAAATAGGACCCCACAAGGATCAGTCCCAGGTCTTCTGTTCTGATAATCCATTAATGATTTAAATGAAGAAGTTGAGAGAAGGCTTATCAGATTTGCAGATTATAAAAATTGAGTGGGATAATTGATTCCATAGAAGTTGGAAATGAAATTCAAAACCATCTTGATAGGTTGGAAGAAAAGGGCTAAAACTACAATAATGAAATTTAACCAGGATAAGTGCAAATTTCCTCATTTAAAAAACAGAAATCAAATGCACAAGTATAAAATAGAGGATACTTGATTTGGTAATAGTACTTGTGAAAAAAGATCCTGGAATAATAGTTCACTTTAAATGAATAGTAGCCAGCATTGTGGTGTGGCTGCAAAGAACCCAAATGCAACCTTAGGCTGCATCAACAGAAATTTAAATTGCAAACCCTGTGAAGTAATCATTCCATTCTGTCCTGCTTTGGATAGGCTTCACTGTGAGTATTCTGGCCAGTTCTGGGCATCCCATTTTCAGAAGGATTCAAAGAAGGACAGTGAAGATGATAAGGGGACTAGAAACTCAGTTCTATGATGAGAGATTGAAGAAACTGGTCATGTTTAGCCTTGAGAAAAGATGACTGAGGAGGGTATGATATCATACTTCGAATACTTGAAATGATGTCAAATAGAAGAAAGTCGATCTGTTCTTCCTTGTTTCAGAATTCAGGATCCAGAATGTTAGATGCACATTATAGGAAAGCAGAATCCAATTGAATGTTAGAAAAAACTTCCTAACTGTAAGAACAGTTTAACAGTGAAACCAATTACTTAGAGACGTGGTAAGCTACTTTTCATTGGAGATGCTTTACTTTGGATTCCTGCACTAAGCAGAAGGTTGAATTTGATGATCTACATGCCCACGTCCAGTATTATATACTTAGAATTTTGTGTACTTTGCAATGTGGTTTCTGTTGTGCAGTCTTCAACTTAGACTTGCACAACTTTGTGCAGAAAATTCATAATAAGTTCATGTCCGTCCATGTTTGTAGGGATAAACAGTCTGTGAATACTTCATATTGTTTCACATGTATTATATCATAAGGCCATTCTATCCCATTTCTGTTTTGGTCTAAATTAAAAAATAAACAAATACAAAAGTTTGTATTTATTTTTGCCTGCTGTTTCATCTTACATGAGTACTTCTATTTGCAGTTTTTGAGCCAAGAACGGTTAACAAATGGTGAGGGAAGGATGGAAGTAAATGGGTAACTGTGATCAGGTCTACATAATAGTCTAGGAAATGTAAAGTACTTTCTACTACTTCTCCAGTATTTGGAATTTAACCAAGCATGGACCTTTCATGCATGGAGAGTAGCCAAAAGGATTTTCATAAAACATTGGATAAATCCAAACATTTAGTTTTAACATTAGTTTCACAGTTTTTAAATTATTTTAGAACTTTGAATATGTATATGTATTTTTGTAAGCTGCCCAGAGCCATTGGAATGGATGGCATAAGATTTATAAAGAAACATTTACAATTGATTTGTGCCAGTGGATTGCCAGTAATTGAATTACTCTTACTTCTTTGGAGTGGTTTCCCTTAATTAAATCATTTCCAGGCATATTTTTTACATAACACTTTCATGCATAGGTTTCATTTCTTCCTTTATATCTAATCATGCTTGTTCGTTTGCTTGTTTGAAAACTACCCCATGGCTGAGTGCACTATTTGTTCTCTCTATAACATCATTCTTTCCCCTCCCCATTGAAGGTCTTCAACTTGGTTCAGAATTTCAGTCCCTGAGCAGTTGATTCATTTTATCAGTTTGTCTACTTACAGTTGTAAATTAAAATTATTTCTGGATATGAAATCAATGACCCTTTTATTCATAGATTAGATGTGACACCTTAGCTGAATAGAGATCTAGATTGGTCCCTCAAGAGAATCATGAATTAGTTTAATGCTGAAAGCACTAACCAGTGGCTTTAAGAAGGGTTATCAAATATTTAGGAGCAGAATTCTTCTAGTGTCTCTTCTAATGTCTAGTGTGGTTTTTCTTCTTTCCTCTGTCATCTCTCACCTAGTCAAAAGCACTTCGGGAAAAATGGCTGCTGCAGGGAATTCCTGCAAGTTCTCCAGCCGAAGAAGAAGCCAGGAAGAGGCAGTCAGAAGAAGATGAACTAAAGGTGAAAAAGCTTGAAGGCAACATCCATAGGTAGGACCACATCTTTCTTTTATTTTTACCTTAAGTAAATGAAAGAGGCCCACTTTCTGCCTTCTTATAACCATATTGCCAGTACAATGTAAAACAAAACAGTGCGATGTAAAAACCGAAACGCTTGGAAATTAATAAAGTCAAGGTTAGTGACTTAGTGACATTCCCCATGAATAAAGCTAATGATTTCATTGGGGGATGGATAAAAACTAAATATACCACTTACTTTTAATAATTACATTTTAATCTATAACCTGTGGGCCTCTAGAAGTTGCTGAATTGCAACTCACAACAGCCCCTGAAATGCAGAATAGCCTGAAAAATAGTGCATGCTGCTGAATTTCATGAATTGGCCAGTAATGCATTTGCTGGAAAAAAGCACCCTCATTAGCTGAAGGTCAAGAAGAAAATACATGAATAACACATATCTGATATAAAACATGAATTCTGGTTGGAGTTTGGAAGGGCTTAAAGGTACAAATCTATATTGCTTACTTGGGAGTAATACCAATAAACTCAGTGGGATTTACATTTGAAGATATTTTTATAGAATTGCAGTGAAAAAGAGAAAAAGATAGCCTGAGTAAGCAGCACTGGACTCAGGAGTCAGAATAATAACATTTATCATTTGTGAAATATTTTGACTTCTGTTTTTATTCTCTCTAACCCAGTGGAATGTTGGAAAGAAATTATGTAAAGGGGTTCAGGAAGCTGTCAGTGCATCAGCAACTTATTTTTATCCCAGCTGCTTTCTTGAATATTCTTTATGATTCTTTTTGACTCTTGAGAAAAGTCAACACTTTTCTCTCAAGGCGGTGATCCAAGCCTTGACAGCTTTATTGATATTTATGAGCATGTTCAGAAAGACTCTTACCTTGTTTTCATATTGTGGTTGCTCAGAAAATATTATCTCTGTATCATTAATTGTGTCAGTCCCTTTTTGATAAAAATATCCAGGCTTGGCAAAATAACAGCAGTCTGAACAGAGCTACAGTGGTTTTCTTCCCCTGTATCCAACCTACCACATGATATATAATGCTAGATGACCCAGAACCAAATCATGTCAACTTTTCATCCCTGTGGTACGAGCTGCAAAAGTGAACTATAATGAAATGTTCCATGAGTTGAGATCAACCCCTGTTAATTATGTGGACACATCCATGTTTCTTTTCTTGGTGACAAGATAAAAGTAATTTGCCACTACTTTATTCTGGGATGTTTTTTCATCTTCTCAATGCAGTGTGGAGCTTTGGGATTTCTTGATGGCCCCTCACCCAAATACAGGTTGGTTGGTTGGTTGGTTGGTTGTTTATGTGCCATTTAGTTGGTGTCTACTCTTAGCAACCATATAGATAGATTTTTTCCATAATGAGCTGCCTCCAACCAGGTCCTTCAGGTCTTCAGTGGTGTACCCGTTGCCACTATAATTGACTCCATCTACCTTGCAGCTGCTTCTCTGTCTTTCTATCTTTCTCAGCATTATAGATTTAAACTACTAATTAATTAATCCAAATACTAATTATTTTCCAAACCTTCTTAGCCTTAGTTGAGATCAGCCAAGGGTGCTAGGTGCTGCCACCCTTTTTGAACTAAACTTGTATTATTTTAATCCTAGTTAAAACAGACTCTTCATGGATGTTAAGTAAAGGAATCTCTGGAAGAAAAAAAGGCAAATAAAAGAAAAATAGAAAAATGGCTCTTTAAATGCAGGGATAACCCCTATCTACATATTAGTGCTTCAATATTATTATTATTATTATTATTATTATTATTATTATTATTATTATT